GCCCCACCCTGAGACTGGCCGCACCTCAGCCTGCAGAGGGATGGCAAGGACTGAGAGACGCCACGAAGCAGCCCAACATGTATGTACTCTTCTTTTAGGATCCGCTAGACCTGGAGGTTCTGTGCAGTTCTTATTCATCAGAATTTACTTTTTTTTTTTTTTTTAAACAGGTGCATTCAAAATATGGACTTCGTTGACGAGCTGCTTCAAAAACTCAAGGGCTTAATAGTAGAAATCCCAGATATTTCTGAAGACTGCCTGTATCTCAACATTTACACCCCTGCAAACAGAGCTGCTGATGCCAAGCTCCCTGTAAGAAACCTCTGCTTAAACTCTTTAACTACGACATTGAGGTTCAAAGCAAACATTTAATTCAAAAGTCTCAAGTTTCAGATTCTGAGGAACACGAACGCAGCATGTTTTAAAGTTGGTTTGGGATGAAGAAAAGGAATTTTTGTTCTGCTCTAAACTGTGATGTACCTTCACCCCGTTTATCTAAACAATACCCATGTTGGTGATTCCAACCTCCTTAGTTGTAGACTTTGTAAAGATCTTAATAAGTAGGACTATCACTGAAAATGTTATTTAATTTCAATTAAAATTCAAGTTATTTGAATTTTAAACAGATCAATTGTACACAAACTTGTTGGATTCATTTTGGTTAAATTTGATTATAGGCTTACAGAAAATGAAAATTCAAAACACTGAGTAAATTAAATAAGACATAAAAATTGATTACTAGTTGAAGAAAGCCAGTACTCAAAACTCTTTCTGTTTGAATTACTGCATTAATGGAGGTGATCAACCTGTGACTGCTTGCTGAGGTGTTAATTTTAATCCCAGGTTGGTTTGATCTCTCTCTTCAGCTCATCTGACTTGTTGACTCTTGGATCTTGTTATTTTCTTGTATTATGATTATACTCATCAGATTCTTTGTGGGGATTGAGGTCAGGCCAGTTTGGTGGTGATGATGAAAGCAGGTATTGGTGCTTCTACCAGGTGTCCAATCCTACTGGCAAATGATGACGACATTATAAAACTTGTCAGCAGAAGGACACTTGAAGCGCTCTAATATTTTCAGGCAAACGGATACACCAACAAAGAATGTATGGCCATCTGTTGGTGACCTTAAGGTCAAACACTCATGGGTTATGCAGCAGGAAAAATGACCCAAAGCACATCAGCAATCCTACCTATGAATGACTCAAAAGTAAGAATGTGTTGGAGTGGCTTAGTCAAAGTACAGACTTCCATAATGGATTCCCCATGGAATGACTAGAAACAGGTTATTCTTGGTCAAACGCCCTCCAATGTGAATACATTAAAACGATTCCGTGAAGAGGAGTATTCAAAATTTTTCCCACTATAAGGTGGCAACACCAGATATTGTGGTGACTGAGGAAGTTACCTTATCACCCAGGACTATGTGGGCTACAATAGCTTCTTTATTAACTCTTCTTTTTAAAACTTCTCTTGGCATTTAGGAAAGTTTGGCGTTTCATGTTTTGTAACATTTAAGCAGAAGTGAAAACAGAATAAATCTGTAAGGAGCAACACACTGTTTGAATTGCTGAAATATGTCACCGTTTTAATCATTTTCTGCTTTGAGATATGCCTGCTTATGCTCTGGAATATTAAAAATAGGCAAATTGCTCAACAAATGAGTTCTACTCCTTTCTCAGGTCATGGTGTGGATCCACGGCGGAAGCTTTCTTCTTGGGTCGGCGTCGGGGTACGATGGCTCTGCTCTGGCTGCATACCAGGATGTGGTTGTGGTTCTGATCCAGTATCGACTGGGAGCTCTGGGCTTTGTCAGGTAAATAAGTTACTGAAGCATGATTGGAAGCACACCGGCATTGCATTTTGGTGATTTGAATTTGATGTGTATATATATATATATATATAAAAAAAACCACTTTATTTTATACAGTACTGGAGATGAGCATTTGCCAGGAAACTTTGGCCTTTTGGACCAGATCCAAGCCCTGCGGTGGATAAAGGAGAACATTCACAGCTTTGGAGGAAACCCAGATTTGGTCACCATATTTGGGGAGTCTGCTGGTGGTGTTAGCGTTTCACTCCTGGTATGAAGTCATCAGAAAACATTTCTCTTTGTTGTCATTGCCAACACCAACACACTTTCTAATTTGTTCTACCGTTTAAATCCTCAGCTTCTGTCTCCACTGTCTGATGGCCTGTTCCACCGAGCCATTGCCGAGAGTGGCACAGCTGCAATGGATCTTCTTGTTGTTAGTGATGCTGTCCCAGTGATGCAGGTGAGATATTTTTTTAGTTGTTGTGTATTATGATTTAATTTCTTGTTTCCAAAGAAATGAGTGTATCTTTCTTCAGGCGGTTGTAAACGCATCAGGATGTAGCCTTGGGTGCACAGAGAAGATTGCTAAATGCATGAGGAACCTGGACATTGACACCATACTGGCATTAGGGAAGGTGAGATGCTGGAAGGAGAAAAAGAAAATCTTCAGTTTCTGCAGGTTTTTTCATAATCTCTCCACTTTTTCTTTTTTTTTTTTTTTAACACATCTTGCTCTCTCAAGGATCAAAGTTTAAGGTGTCCTGTAAACATTGATGGACACTTCCTGACCGAGCCTGTGCCTGAACTGTTCCAGAAGCACAAACTCCACACTGTGCCATTTATGACTGGCATTAATGATCATGAAGGAGGTTATGGTATTTCTGATGTAAGTTTTGAATGTTTATGAGCATTTCAGACCACTGATTCGGCATAGTTTTTGTTGTTGTTTTAATTATGCTAATTCTAAGTTTTATCTGTTTTCTGTAGCACTATGCTCCACCAAACTGGACAGAAGGAATGGATCAAGAGCTGGTCAGAAACATCCTGTCCGTCTTTTACCCCCTTGTAAGACTCATGTTGTCTGTTGTGGTAACCTGTAAATATATTTATACCCCTTCAATATTTTTATTAATCTTATTTTTATGGGATTTTTTTTTAGTCTCTTTAGAGATCATTATCCTGCCTGTATCATGTGTCAGTGTTCCTAAGGTTGGGAAGCACTGGATCCAATTGACCAACACATATTTGGTCATATTTTTGAGGTGGAAGGAGAGTTATACAGAGTTTTCCAGTATATTTTACAATTGCTTGCATCTGTATTGGAATGGCTTTACTGACACTGTAAGGATAAAGTTATTGAGAGGTTTAAAATAGGATGAGGTTATAAAACATTTCAAGCTTCCAACAAATCAAGGGGTACTGCTCATCTCATATGAATGAAAAGGATATATAGCACACATGTAACACAATGAAACATGGCAGTAGCAGAATCATGTTGTGAGGAAGCTGGTCAGATCGATTGAGCTAAATTCATGGTATTTCTTGAAGGCGCCAATAACTTGAGATCGCGGCAGAGGTCCAAGCAGAACAGTGGTTTAGATCAAAGCAAATTGAATTGTTTGAATTAGGGTTTTAAATGAGCAAAGCCGGTAGACAGATTCTAGTCTGACGGCTTTAATTCCAATGCACCATTTTCCTTCTACAATTATGTACTGCTTTGTGGGAGGTGATCATGTAAATCACAATGAAACATGCATGCAATTTGTTGTTTTGTAACGTGAAGAAATATAAGGGGTGTGAATACTTTAGCATTTCTTTCCTCGCACAATTAGGTTTTTTCATAAATTGTTTCTCCTTTCAGCCTGAGCAGGCGGTCATCAGAGACTTGATTGTTAAAGAATACACCGGATCTGGTGAAGACCGCATCCGAAACAGAGATGGATATATGGAGCTGCTCGGAGATTTCTTTTTTACTATTCCAGCCATTAAAGCGGCAAAGGCTCACAGAGGTTTTTTTTTTTTTTTTCCATGCAAGGAATCTATTCACTGGATATTTTCTATTGTTGTATTTCCCCAACGATTGACACTTGCATGTACCACCTCCAGATGCAGGCGCCGCTGTGTACTTGTACGAGTATCATCACGCTCCCACAATTCTGCAGAAAATAAGGCCGAGCTTTGTTAAATGTGACCATATGGATGAAATCTTGACGGTGCTGGGACTTTGCTTCACAACTACCCATGTAAAATTAGCTGGTAAGTGCATCTAACTTACCCCCAGATATTTAATGTATTTGTGCATTTTTACCTAGTGACACCAATGCTTACTGATTAATTTAGATGAATGTCCAAAAGAGGAGGAAGAGTTTAGCAAAATCATGATGAACTACTGGGGCAACTTCGCTCGCACAGGGTAAGAGCGGCTGCTTATTCAAAATACAAAGTACACACAGCTAATACAAAGTTTACAGCAATATTTGTTTATAGGTCTCCTAATGGCGATGGCCTTGTCAAGTGGCCCAGATATGGAGCGGAGGAAAAGTACCTGTCTCTCGATTTGAAGGAGCAGGTGTCTGGTCAGTCCCTCAGGAAGAACCGGTTCGTCTTTGTGACCCAAACTCTGCCAGAGAAGATCAAGAAGCTTCAGGAGACTGTGCAGCACAGCGAGCTGTAGTGCAGCATCATATGGAAGTCGCCTCTAACACCCTTGTTTTTAAATTTAAACTACTTATTTTTGATATTTGGAGTGTTATTGGGAAATATGTGTATTCATGTTCAATGAAAGAAATTTAAAAAAAAAATAGATTAGCAACTTTTAATATAAAGAAAGTAGTCTTGTTGAAAAACGACACATTTTTGACTTCTTTGAACACCTGTTAGCCCTACTGATGTTTGAGAAAGAGAGATTTTCTTTTTACATACATTACTTCAGAGGATTTGCAAGATAGTTGGGAAACGATATTCACAATCTGTATCAAAGCCTTTCTTTGTTGAGAGTAAATGACATAAAGAGTGCCCAAGGCGAGTGAATAAGTGGGGGAGGAATGCATTTCTGTTCTTCTTTAAAATCTCTGGAAAACAAAAACAAATCTGAAGCTGAAAAAAAAATCTGGCAGTAAAACAAACTGGAACAATTTTTTTGGAACAGAATTTTATATATATATATATATATATATATATATATATATATATATATGACAAATACAAGTGTTAGATGTGGGTGTGCAAAAAAGACAATAGAGAAAGGGGGGAGAAAAAAAAGAAATGGAGTCCAGTGTGGTACTTGGGTACAGAAATTTTTAATAAAAATGTAATATGTTTTATCTCAAGATCAAATATGCTTTAATAATTTAAATTTTAAACAAAATAGGTAACTCTTTGCAGTCTCCTAAGTACCATGTGATTACCAAGTGAAATACTTTACTGTATATTACTATGTAATTGAACTAATTTGAGTGCCAATTATAATTAAATTACTGTTTAATAGTACCTAAATTACCTATTATTTAACAAAATAAATGACCACACATTACCATATACAGTGTATCACTACGTTACTAAAGCTGATTGGTGGGTAATTGTGATACCTTCTTTATGGATTACACAGTAAATTTAAGCAGACTTTATATTTTAAGCAGATATCATAAAACTCATGCTTTATACACAGGTTAATCTTCATTTAACCTGTGCATAAACTAGCAGCAATAAAGTACTCCACAAGTAGATGCAAATCCTGTGCTTGAGAGCTATGTGTTCAAGAGTTTAGTTGAAAAGTCAGTAGGAGGCAGCATCATTTCTTCTGATTACTTTGCTGCTGCCTTCACTAGTGTCAGATTTCACTTCCTGACTACCAACATGAAGTTCTACATTAAACACGTTTGCTGTCTTCTGTTTGTTGTTTTTCTTGGCGTCACTGCAGATTTGCAAGGTAAGTCATGCACAAGATGTTGGTCTGCTTGTGTCGAATATAAGCTGCTGGAAGTAGGGAAAAATGCTCTATCGATTTTACTTGATCTCTATTTTTGCACATTACCAAGTAGTAAATGTCTGAAAACAGAGTTTTTGAACACATTGTCCATTCTTGCTCTTTATTTACGACCTCTGTGCAGTAAGAGTTGGTGGATAACAGTGAGTCACTCAAGACCATTTGTATGTTGCTTCAGTAAATACAATTTCAGTTCCACTTCTTAAAAATGTAAATTCAGAGACATGTTCCACATGGACACTTCATGCACTGCAGTTGAGCAGGTTACACAAAGATTGTGTAAGCTGAGCTGCACAGAGCAGATTTCCGAGATGCACACTTGAATTGATTGGTCTGCCTCAATCATTTTGCTGAGATTTAAACCTTTAACACACACTGTAATGTTGTAATACCTTGTTTTGCTCTTTCTGTCTGTGCAGCAGCCAAAGTTCAAAGTATAACGAAGCCAATAAAAAGAATCAATAGAAAAAGAAATATCTTGCTGTAGTTTGTCAAAGTTTTAGTTCAGAGCTTAGAGGCTATGTCCTATCCTGGATATCTTCAGTCTGTTCTCCTGAGGAACATAAGCCTCCCAAAAATCCTGCCATTTTAAAAATGTTATTTATGCACTTATGCATATAATTTTATTTTTATACTTAATATCTGCACTAAAGTCCTTTCAGAGCAAGCAAAATATATGACAAACGGCAAAAACTAAAGTGTTGAAATGAAAATCTTTAAAGACATAAGGACAGCTCAGTAACAGAATCGAGTTATCAATTTTCACTACAGTCAAATGCAAACTGAAGAGAAATGGGTCTTTAAGAGCTCCATGAAATTACTGATTTTGTGAACAGACCTAACATGGAGACATTGGTTGTCCTAGACTCTACAGGTTGGGGTTATTGTCCAAATGCCTAATTGTCACTGCTTTTTAAATTGGAAGCCACATGGAACAATTTCTTGTTTGACCTCAGAGTTCAGTTATGAGGTTAGACATGCAAAAGGTCCTGGAGATGGAATGCTTGAAATTGTTCCTCTATTTGTTCCAGCTTTCTGAGTACAAATACTCAGAAAGTTGTTGATGAGGTGTTAAACCTCATAGATATTCCCTCATTTTATATATTAAGAATGCTGATGTAATTTTCCTGTCTCTATATGCATACTCATTATGAGGGATTGCTGTAAAGTCAAAGACGGAACGTAATTTATTGGATTTTCTTAGAAACTTTTGAAACGGTTTTGAATAATTAATTGAGCATACTGTAGTGTTTGATAACTAGGATCAATTGTAATGTATGATTTATTTGAAAAGATTTTGTAAATTGTCTTGAGATATTTGTTGTGATTTTGTGCTGTATAAATAAATTGAAGTCAAATTCCCCTGCATTTTAATAAACTGTTATTATCTGAATATGATAAAGCAACATTAGCAGTTAGAACAGCTGATTTCTTATTTTGTTATTTAACTTTGGAACAAAACCCTGTAACGTCATGATTGGTTCATAAAATCCTGACAGCACCAGAGGTCCAAACCAAGCTTGGCAGACTGAGAGGTCAGTATGTGAGCGTAAAGGGGAAGGAGAGCGGCGTCCACGCCTTCCTGGGCGTCCCTTTTGCTAAGCCTCCTCTCGGCCCCACCCTGAGACTGGCCGCACCTCAGCCTGCAGAGGGATGGCAAGGACTGAGAGACGCCATGAAGCAACCCAACATGTAGGACACGTTAGCTCCGGTTTTAGGAAGTTTACACCTGGAGGTTCTGTTTAGCATTTGCTTATGAAACATATCTGTTTTGCAGGTGCATTCAAAGTATGGATGTTGCCAATGAACTGATTGATAAACTCGGTTTGCTGATATCAGAAGTCCCAGAGCGTTCAGAAGACTGTCTGTACCTCAACATTTACAGCCCTGCAAATAGAGCTCCTGATGCCAAGCTCCCTGTAAGGATCGCTGCTTTAAATATGTGTATTCATGTGTCTTTTTTAATCCACACTCATTTCATCTGCTGTTATTGTAGCTATAATATACAGAGGCATAAGATTTTCAAGTTCCAAATTCTGTAAAATAGCGTGCACCATAATGGCCATCAGTAATATTGAACAAGCTGAGATTGATTTGCTCAAAGCAGCAGTACATAATTTCCCTCATATATTCAATACTTATTTTATCTGCCATATTTACAGGTTGTCCTCAATTACTCTCTGATACACTTCACAGTTTTTGGTGGATTCTGTGAATGTGAGCTGGCCAGGCCATCCTGCAGCACAGCATTCACAAATCATGACACTTCCACCTCCGTGCTTCACTGAGAATATTTTCCTATAATTCTGGGTTTGGTTTGTGCTAAGCATATTCTATGTTCTGGTGTGTCCAAATAATTGGCTTCACAGACCATTATCCCAAGAATGTCTTCATCTTTGTTTACATTATCACTCACCACACCTTAACCTGGCTTTCTGGTTTTTTTTTTATTAGTTAAAATATTGCAGAGGAATTGGAGTCCTCTGAGGATCTGGCTGTTTTTGAGAGGATCTATTTCAGAATCTTGATTTGAGTGTGGCTAGTGAAATTGAACTAGGTGATAATCAAATGATTTAAAGATGTGTGTTTGGCTTGAATAGGTTTTCACTTCATAAATTAATAAATTGTAATACAAAACTGGCAAATTGCATTACATAACTGCAGTCTCCATGTAAACACTAACAGGCCCTCTTGCTTCACCTAATGAGAAAACGTTGCAGATTGGTGTTTGATGAGCTCAGTGCAATCAAAGCAAAGCATTGAATTGCTCTCTCAGGTCATGGTGTGGATCCACGGTGGAGGCTTTGTGGTTGGATCTGCTTCGTCATATGACGGCTCTGCTCTGGCTGCATACCAGGATGTTGTTGTGGTTCTGATCCAGTATCGCCTGGGAGCTCTGGGCTTTGTCAGGTAAATAGGCTGCTAAAACATGATTACATCAAACCAGGAACATATTCTACTGATTTGAATTTGATGTAAACAATACAGCACCGGAGATGAGCATGTGCCAGGAAACTTTGGCCTTTTGGACCAGATCCAAGCCCTGAAGTGGGTCAAGGAGAATATTCACAGCTTTGGAGGAAACCCAGATTTAGTCACCATATTTGGGGTGTCTGCTGGTGGTATTAGCGTTTCACTCTTAGTAAGAACTCTTCAGTGATCCCCGCCCCTCTCCATCCCCTCTAAAAACTATTATAATCTTACTGCAAACACATAAATTATTGTTCTGCAACTTAAATCCTCAGCTTCTGTCTCCGTTATCCGATGGCCTGTTTCACCGAGCCATTGCTCAGAGTGGTACAGCTGCAATGGATATCCTGATGAATGATCCTGTGCCAGTAATGGAGGTTAGTTGTCCTTTTTTTGTCCTTTAACATGGTTTAATTTTTTTATTCCAAAGAAATGTACCTTTCTTCAGGCAGTAGCAAATGCTACAGGCTGTAGTCTTGAAAGCACAGAGAAGATTGCTGAATGCATGAGAAACCTGGACACTGATACCATACTGGCGTTAGGGAAGGTGAGGTGCTGAATGAAAAAATTCATATAGTTTAGATATATTATTTCTGCTCATTTCACCATCTCCACCATTTCTTCTTAAGGATCCATTTTTGAGATATCCAATACATGTTGATGGCCACTTCCTGACTGAGCCTGTCCCTGAGCTGCTCCAGAAGCACAAACTCCTCACTGTGCCATTCATAACCGGTGTTAATAATCATGAAGGAGGTTTTGTTGTTGGTGATGTAAGCTATAAATGTTTAATTACTGAAGGAGGATGTTTTTTTTTTTTTTGTTATTTTATTAATGTCTACTGTAAGATTGGTCATTAATTTGATTTACTTCCTGTAGCACTTTGCTCCTCCAAACTGGAGAGAAGGAATGGATCGAGAGCAGGTTGTGGACATGGTGTCTATGCTTTACCCTCTTGTAAGACACATATTGCCTCATATATCAGTGTCACTTTCCCTCTGCACGAACCAGATTCTTTGACTTTTTCTCCCTGTTGAGGCCCAAGATGCAGCCATTGGAGATCTGATTGTGACGACGTATGTCGGATCTGGTGAAAACCGCATCAGAAACAGAGATGGATATACTGAATTTATAGGAGATTTCTTTTTTTCCACCCCGGCCGTGAAAGTAGCAAATGCTCACAGAGGTATTTAATTCCAAATCATGCATTTAGATCAGTGCTGGTTATTTTCCTCTGCAGCGCTTTCTAAACAAACACGATACCTGTTGGTCCACGACCAGATGCAGGTGCTGATGTGTTCTTGTATGAATATCATCACGTCCCCAACTTTCAAAAGAAAAGAAGGCCCAGCTTTGTTAAGTGCGACCATCTAGATGAGGTCTTTATGGTGCAGGGATACTGCTTTACAACTACACATGCAATATTAACTGGTAAGTGTACCTAATTTACCCCCAAATGTCAAGCTTGTGGATTTTTCCAAATGGCTTCACTGTTAATTTCAGATGCATGTCCTGAAGAGGAGGAAGAGTTTAGCAAAATCATGATGAACTACTGGGGCAACTTCGCTCGCACAGGGTAAGAGCGGCTGCTTGTTCAAAATACAAAGTACACACAGCTAATACAAAGTTTACAGCAATATTTGTTTATAGGTCTCCTAATGGCGATGGCCTCGTCAAGTGGCCCAGGTATGGAGCGGAGGAAAAGTACCTGTCTCTCGATTTGAAGGAGCAGGTGTCTGGTCAGTCCCTCAGGAAGGACCGGTTCGTCTTTGTGACCCAAACTCTGCCAGAGAAGATCAAGAAGCTTCAGGAGGACGTGCAGCACAGTGAGTTGTAGTGCAGACTTATCAAGATTTAAAAACAGTGCAAGAGTGAAACGATCTTTTTACTAGTGTGTTGTCATTTTAAAGACACCTACCTACTGTCAATACTGGTTATGCTGGGATTTTATTTTACTTTTACAGGATTCCTCTACATTTCCTCTTCTAAAGTTCTTTGTTCCTTTTAAATGAGAAATTTGATTATGCAGAATCTACTTTGAAAATTCTCATGATGCATGTATTTACATTGCCTGTATTTTAGACAAACTGTAAGCATGTAACTTCTGCTTATTTGTATTTGCAATGGAAAGCCCTTTCAATATGATGCTTAATAATCACTGGGCTAAAGTACAGTAATGTAAAAAAATGTTTGCCCTTTTAAAAAGGCCACACATTTTAAATTTGTTTTTGTACTTAACTGCTCTAGCTCACCAAAAAAAAAAATCAATAAAGAAAACAGTGAAAACTGTTTTAAATCTCGCTGGTCCTATGGCAATAAATGGCAACATTTTTGCCCGTTCTCTTTACTGTTGAATCTCAAATGAAAAACTTAGCTGGGGCAAGAAAAGCCTGAAATGTTTTAAATGTTCTGGGAATTTTTGTGACCTCCTAGATGAGTTGTGGAGACACTTTGGGAGCAATTCTGGTAGACAAGTCACTCCTGGGAATTCTCTTGAATTTCCTTACACTGATTTTGAGATTTTTTATTTTTTTTGCCTACTTTATGTTGTCAGGTTCTGTTAAAGTAATTTCTAACTTACAAAGCTTTTTGAATAGTCTAAGCTGATTCATATTTTACCCAAAGGAGCTGGAGGGATTTCTATTCTCACAGGAACAGGTTGGTTCAGACTGCTTGTTGCGCTGGGTGAAATCACTATTTGGATTCGGGTTATCTTAGTCTGATATGAACATTTGTTTGATGATCTGAAATATTCAGGTGTGGAAAAAAAAAATCTGTAGGGAGGCAAATACTTTTTTCGCATCACTACAGCTTTTTAGTAAACACCACTATGGAAACGCGAAGCACACTTACACCCACATAAGATATGAGAAACAGATTTAAATTTTTATTTTTATTACTGAGTGCTTAAGCTGAAAAGCTCCCTGAAGTCTGTGAGCAGTTCAAAAGGTCAAACCTAAAACTTCCAATGAAACCAAGCATATGGTATTATTACAAAGCAACACTTTTCAAAGGCAAATCACTCATATAGCTGGGTTTACAGATCAGAGAATTTCAATAAAAAGTTGTCATGAAGTTAATAAAATGTGACATATCAAGGATGCTTCAGCAAACACCTGTTTTGCAGATGTTAGCAAAACTGCAGTCTGGTTTAAAAAAAAAAAAAAGAAGAAAAAAAAAGTGCTGGCCACTGGTCTTCATGATTTACTGACCTGCCCAGAAAAGTGCACTTGGAGTAGGAAAGCTACTGGGCATCACCATCAGATGGCCGTAATGAGACACACAGAAAGTTACTCTGAGCTTCGAGTTGCACTTTGAGCCGTTGGTCTGATCAGTGAGTTAGAAATCATTATAGGGGGGAACTGGTGGCAAAAGGTTTGCAGCTAATAAAGCCAGGCAAAACACTGTCAGCCATGAAAACACACATTTTAAAGATGGAGACTTTTTTTTTTTTTTACAGAAGCAAAAACAGCATATTTGGTTACGTCAATTTAAACTACTGTATAGATTACCTATTGCATTACAATACATTTTTTCCAGCTTTTATAATAGGCTAATATGTTTGGTGGGGTCACATTAAGTGTTGTGTTGCCTATGAAAATGATTCAAAGACCAATTAATCAATAAAAGTTAGCTAATGTAGGTTTGATCAAATGGAAGATAGAGAACAATTGCCAATTTTAAAATAATTCCTGGTATTTTCTGGCTGAACATACCGAATGTAACTGTATATTCTGTTTTTGGACTTGAAATCATGAGAAGCACCTACCTAAAGGTGTTATTTTTTAATTTACCTACTGGGAAAAAAACAAAACAAAAAAAAAAACAAGGCATGCTGCTTTACACAAACCAAACATGTTTAGATAGTGGTTATGGATGCAGTGCTGATTAGATCTAAATAAACGCAGCATGCACTTGAACATGTTCGGCACTGAAGCTGGTATAATACTGTGATATAACGGAATACACTGAACACCTTCATCTGCTTCAAGCACTATCGGGTACAGACATGGTTCTGGAATCACAGGCACATACAGTTTGATCCTCAACGGGTGATATAAGTGGTACCATCGCTCTCCTTTGTCTGCAGGGAATAAATAAAGTTTTATGTGACCCGTTATCATGCTGCACTAGAATTAGATTAAGGTCATACCAGGCTGAGGTGATAAACAGTGACATGAGAGGCCCTTCAGAGTGCATATGTGAGGGAAATATAAGTGTGTTAGGTCAGGGTGAGACACAAAGCAGGTAGAGTAGCACAGTAAAACCCAATCTCCACCATTAAGAGTTAGGGTAACGATATTGGGATGGTGACGTTCTCAGCGGAGGTGATTCATGTGTAAGGGTTATTTTGCCAAAAGCTCGAAGCATCAGGATGTCCAAGACTGCATGTTGCGCAGCATAGCCTCAAAGCGCTCCATGCTCGGTGCGTGGGCGTGGGGCAGGTGGTCCGTCAGCCGGCTGTACAGGCTGAAAGATTTCAACTCCAGCCAGATGAAACCAAAACGGTCCTCGTCGAACAGCACGAAGAGCCCCGGCGTGCGCTCTGGACTCGTGAAGCCGTGTCCAGCAATCAGACCTGTTCCGTAGAAGCTGAAACACAAACGAAACTCATCAACATGCTGGTGGATACCGATGGTGTCAATCACCCTCATGATTGACAGCTGCTATTCTACAGCTGGATCACCACAACAGAGCAGGCTATGAATGGTCTGGCTAGCTAGCATTGCCACCAATGTGAATAAATGGTTTTCCTGTAAAGGTAACCGCCGTTAACACATTAAACAGTGCGTACACAAGGGTGAGACAGTGCAAAGACACTCTGATGCTGTTTGTTTTTGCCCGGGATCGGCAAAAACAAATGATCCCGGGTAAAAGAGGTGAAGAAGCTCAATCTTTTCACAGGTGATCTGTCTTGTATTACACTGTCATTTACAGTGACAGTTTTAGCAAAAATGGTTTAAAAATGTTCAAGTTACATACTGCACCCCAACCCTAACAGCATTTTGAATGGATGAAGTAGCAAAGCTATCAGACTTTAAAACACTCCTTCTTTATAAACACAACATTATACAACTGTGCATCATGTGAAAGACTATCAGACTCCTGCAGCAAACATCCACAAACAGTAACCCTCCACAACCAAGTGTGCAGCTGTAAAATCTTCCTTACTCCTCCCACTACTCCATCAAACCTTCTGGAATATCCTATCCATTAGAGACGCAAGGATGAGGACTAAGAATGTGCATTTTGGGTTTATTATTTGAGTCCTCACCATTTCCTGCAGGTGCGAGGGTACACCTCATTGCGAGCCATGACCCCTAAAGGCAAAACAAAGGGCTGAGCCTCAGGAGACGAGCTACTACCGCTGGGACCAGACTGGCACGCGTCTGCACAGGCACCGTGGTCGACCTCCGTTTCTTCAGCAGCAGCACCGTCTGCTTCCTCCTCTGCACGTCCGACACAAGCAGAGGCGTCGCTGGCTGGCTGTTCCACCTCCCTTTGAACTTTCTCATGTATTCCCAATATAATCCGCGACAGCACGTCTATGTTGCGCTGCTGGTCCAATTCTGGGAGGTCCACAGGCTGACTCAGGTCAACATCCAGTGTGAGTTGCCCTGCAGGAACGTTTGGGTCTCCCTGAAAGAAGGAAGAGAACAATTTTATTTGTAATTGAGGTCATTGGCTGAAGAAAGAGGCAGTTTCCAGATACAGAATTAGAAAAAAAAAAAAAAAACAACCACATGATTTTTAAAGCACATTTGTAAGAAAACATAGCTGAGGTGTATTTACAAGAACTTTTTCATTTATTTCCAAGGATTTCCCTTTTCTATCCCTCTGACAGTGATTATGGACAAACCTACAGTGAGTTTAGTGGCTCTTGCAGACATCCCATGGAAACTTAGCATGACAATCTCCAAGCCATGACTCCCGTATGTGCCTTTGAATAAGCCTGGCTGCAGCAGATCCGAAGGCATCAAAGGAGGCAGGTAGATCCGCCTGTATGTCAAGCAGTTGCTGCAAAAACAAAAAACAGACAAAAGCCACCAAGCTGCTACTGAAGCCTCATAGAGACAGAATAAATGTGTGCAAGATAAATCGTCATACTCATATTGACTGGTGTAAATGAACTTCATCAGAATGAGCTCCTGCATGTGTTCGTGGAAGATCTCTTCCAGTGTGCGACCCCATTCTTCCTCCAACCAAGTCCGAAATTCCTGCATGAACACACGTTCATATGATAAAGAACTCTGAATTTCATAAGGCTCAGCAAAGTACAGAATAAAACGTATTAATATCACGTGGAAATTACCACATTTTATCAGAGTGCAGCCACACTACCATGTCTTTTGTTGGGATTTTTATGGGATAGAGCAACAGAATTGAGCACATAACTGGAATTTAAAAGAATAATGGTTCAAAGTATCAAAAATCCTTTCAGGAAAAATCTGCAGAGCGGCATGCATTTTTTTTTTTTTTACATCCAATTTCGTTTATTGGAAAATCCTTGCATAAAATCTCAATCTCAAAATCTCTTAAAGCTGTCCTTTGAGGCATGTCTGAGAACATTAGACTCTGGTGTTTTGGTTAGATGAAAACAAAACCTACATTCAAAATGCTATGTGTGGAAGAAACCCGACCTTTCAGATCACTGAATACAAAAACCCAAAAGATGTACCCCAAAACCACTTGCAATTATAATGTATTAACTCAGTTGGGTAGAATTTGAATGCAAAAAAGAAAAAAAAAAGGATGTATCCCTGTCCCAACCTAATTTACAATTATTTTCTACTTTGTCTTGGTCCATCACATAAAATCAAAACGCATTAAAGTTTGTGGTTGTTAATTCACAATGTGTGCGATATGTGAAAATGCTTAATACATGTGGGAAATATGCTTCTCAGGGCACAGCAGATCAGAATATGAAACTAATTATTAACAGGATCTAGTAGAACCGGTTAGACGTACCT